CTCGCTGCTTGCAGGCTGCCTTTCGTTGCGTTCTGGAGAACAATGTTCAACGCCACACGCCGAAAGCACTGCTGCTGCTGACACCGAAGACCGGACACCACCGCACACGGTGATTGAATGAGCACCGTTCAGTGAGACAGGATCGAATTCGATTTTTAAATCTGTGTTAGAGAAAGCGTCTTATTGTAGAAATTAACGGGTCAGATGATTCAAGCAGACGGTTCAGAAGGTCAACGTTTGTTACTGTTCGGGAGATTTTTCGTGTATGGCCCATGCGAAAGCGCCTGATGTCTTTATTCCTAGACTCCTGGGCCTCCTCGGATAACTGCCCAATTGGCACAAGAAAAGATTGTATGATCGTCGAGCCATGGATAAGTATTTTATGCACCGTTACAGGCAAATAAAACCACGGGTATTCTTCCACGAGCACCAGTGCCGTTTGCAGACAGTATTCATCAAATTTAGTGCTTTCGATTTGGCATCCGGATGCCAATGCCTGCAATATTGACTTGCAACGATATAGCAGTATTGGATTCAGTCCCGTTATTTCCGCAGATTTCTCCCATTCTCGAAAAAACGCCGAGCGGTATTACCGTCATTTGATGTTCCAGAACCTCCAGACCTCGGCTTATCAATATGTAAACCCATTTCCACGCGGAACTTCTGTTGAATAAGTTTTTTTCGTTCTCTCATTGTATCACCGTCCGGTCCTTTGGCCTGCCACCTTTTAAAGTCCATGCGATAAGCCAGGTGTATAAAATACTCAAAAAAACGTATCCATGCATGAAGCGTGGACAGCCCGAACTGAAATACTTCTTCGTTTTCCGTACGCTCCTTTACCTGAGCTATATTATTCATCTGCGATGGAACAGCACCGCAAATGTAGCATCTCTGTGATGACTTCGTCAATGTAACTGCATTACATACCTTCCCGTCCACCATTGTCATCAGCATTTCATATCGAAAAAATTCTAACAGAACAAGATCTTAATACTAAATATAAAATCATACCTTATTACGATTGTTCGTCCATTACGTGAGATTGTTGTTGGATTCAGTTCTGAAATTTGCTGTTCCACGTATGCTTTTTCCAGTAACGAAATCTCTGCCGTTTCAGCAACGAATTGTATACGGAGAGGCCGGCAATATCTAGTTGAAGAGGGTCGTGGGTTTTGAAATAAACATTTTCCTCTGGTATCTGCCTTAATAGGCACGATGGATGTAATGAAGACGTGTGAATCAGAAAAGGACCCATCATCACCTATAACAGTAGTGGTATTTACTCAAAAATAGAGGCTTATCATAAAGTTCTGGCATAAGTAGAAAGGGGATACACCAGAATAGATCAAAATATTGGTCGTGGTGGTATTATGCCTCCAACACAGAAAAAAGCCTCACCTGTAAATTTTTGCTTGAATTCATTATGCGATGAGCTGCCGTCGAATCCCCACTTGATTGTAAACACAACGTTGAGAAGCTCTTCATCACTGAAGTTTGGCAGTGTTTCGGAAACCGCTTCAAAAATTCTAGTGGATGTGTGGTCAACCAGTTCTTGCAGTTTAATTTCGGCAACAGTTTCAGTCACGGTTATTGCATCAGGGTAGCAGTTTTTTTTTCGCCGTCAGAATTGTATGATATGCTGGATATATATTCGTATTCCTCACCTTAGCTTCTTTTTGAAGTTTTGTGTACTGCGACTTTGTTAGGTTAGTATCCAGCATCATCGCCAAAGCCTCTTCTGGTGTATATTGTACAATATTGAGTTTGGGGGATGTTTTAAAACTTGACAGTACTTGTTCTGCTCGCGAAGGAGTTGCCTGAATAACGTCTCTGATGAGTGCAGCTTCGTCTTTTCTTCCGGATTCTCGAAGCTTCATCTGCGCAGCAAAGCAAAGCTCATCTGCTTCATGTTCGGCCCGCAATTCGGCCGTTTTTTGCCGTTTCACACTGTCTGTGCTTTTATCAAAAGGCAATACTTTTCGGCCAGGTCGTTGAGAATTGGAAGAAGATGGAAGCTTAACACGTATAGCTTGAGGCAGTTGTGCCGGATTATCAAAGTATGCCTTATTGTAGCCAAAAACATTCTTAGCTTTGCGATTATGTTTGACCCACAGCTTTTGGAAGTAGTGACAGATGCTCTTGACATATGCCTCTACTTCTGAAACGACATCTGGCATGATGTTCATATCTATTTTATGAAGAGCCATAACCTCGGAGGCTACGCAGCCCCATTTTGTATGTTGGTTCCCTGCGGTTCTCCTCCAAAGATTAAACAACTCACGTTTGTCAATAGTTTCTAAATATTTGAAATAAAACACATATTTGTGCTTCGTCACTTTTTAAATAGTGATCAAAACAAATTGCACTTACCTGAACCAACCAAAAAAGATATTTCTGAGCTCATTATCGCAATTAGATACAACCGCTCACGTTCAAAAGCAACAGACACCGGGACTCAAATAGTGGGAGGAACAAGGACCAATGTTCGTTCAGTTAACCGATTATTACAACAAACACCGAGAATCACATTCCGGGAAGAACAAGGACCACTGTTCGTTCAATCAATTGGTCACTACTACCGACACTGTGAATCACCTGCCGGGGGGAACAGAGACCAATCGTAGTTCAGTCATTTTTTTTATCACTACAATAGACACTGGGACTCACCTGCCACGAGAAGCAAGAACCACTGTTCATTCAGTCAACCAATCACTACAATAGACACTACGAATCACCTTCTTGTGTTGTCAACCGGTCACTACAATTTAGAATTTGGAATCAAAAGTTTTATCACACGCTGCTTTGCAACGCCTACTCTTTTTTGCATGCCTACTTCGATTTAACCGAATTCGAATTTTCTTCCTTCAACACCAACAGTAAGTGACGTATGAAGTAGCTGCTCTATGTACAAATGCAGTAAAACGATTATCTGAACACGGGTTACTATAGTTTGGTAATAAGCAGATCGGCAGAGAATACTAAAGAAGACTTATGATTTGGTATGCATTGGGCTGCATTTTATGTGTACTTTCAAATGTAATCAACCTGGTTTGCCTAATTTTGCCCAACTTCGAGCTATTGGCCTTGGAAATAGTGCTAATTTTGGATCAAAACCTTGAATATCTCAAAAAATATTGAAGATAGGGACTTGCTTCCCAAGACAAAATGGTGTATTTTTAATAAACAAACATTTGTGTAGAACATACTTATGTCAAAAAATTGCTTCCTGAAAAGTTATTAGCAAAAAATTGATTTTCTGAAGACTCTTATCAAAAAAATGACATATATCTGTAAACATAAGAGATAGAGGGTTGACTTGAGAAAAAATGTTTGTTTTAAAATTGTCTAAAACTTTGCTGAAGACGCCATTTTGCTATATCGACAAACAAAAAAAGTAAATTTTTCATCTCCCTGCTATGTGGATTAATCATGAAATGGCTATGCTCAAAAGAAGGGGCTTTTTTAGTGCACAAATTTCTCCGAAGACACTATATGGCTTAAATGGACCGTTTTCACATAAACTAAAAAACGCACGTTTTGGCACTTTTAGACCACTGTGCACTGTGATAGAATAAGCACCGTTCGGCGAGACCGAATGGAATTCAATTTTGAAATCTGTGTTAGGGAAAGTGCTTTTAGCAGGCAATCGGTGATAATTTTGATCACCATTGCAACAGTTGGACATTTGTGCGATTAATTATAGTGACCTTTTGAAAATTGATAAAGTGTTCATTTTAGCAGATTTGTAGAAAAATTTCCAATCGATTGGCTTGTTTAGAATTAAAATCCATCCGCAATTGACAGAGTTATATGTGGTTAAAACCTGACCACTTTTCGTAACGCGGTTGATTTTGGTGTTCATAAATTGCACCCATAATATGTTGCCAAAAGACGTAATCCTACGTAAAAAAATCTTTACCGAAGATACTGATTCTGAATATGAAATTTTTGAAAAAAATATATTTTGGGTCTCACTTCTGAACTGTCAAGGGGTCTAGAATCTTCCCGACATAATGACTTTTGACGGTCTTTTGGTGTTCTGGACCTCTCAGTCTATCATCCTAGTTACGCCTTTGGCAGCTGTGTCCATGTTACAGCTGGTAGTTGGTTGCAATAATGACTAAAGCGTTAGGAGCATGGTAGGACCAGAGATACACACTTAGAAATACCTAATCTTACACGTGACGGAATCCATCTTTGACACAGAGGATGAGACGTGAACAAACATTTCATGTAAAATAATGTGCTCCGAAAAATTCGAAAGTACGTTTGATTGAGCTGAATTTTACGTCTATTATGGCTCAATTGTATGTCAAAATTGACGCTCGTATATGTTAGTCTCAGGGCACCTAAATTTACATTAATTTTTCTAAGTGTGTAGGTATCACGTTCCTTCCAGATTGCATTCTCACCATTTGTTTAATCCGGAACTTTTTGTAAGGAGTTTGTTTTTTTCCAGAAAATCTCGTTTTATTTCATTTAGTAATGTTTAACTTTCCATTCCCTCATGACATTATCACTCCAGTCTCTCATTCAAAGAAGAAAATCCATTTAACCATTAAAGCAAAACTCGTTTCAGTTAAATGAATCACTGAATAATTGAATTGTGCTGCCGAAATCTTTGTTACCTGTTTTCGCATTCACCGCACAAAGCCGTTACTTTTCCCCCCCATATAGACATAACAGAGGGAAACCACACAATCGCGGAAAAACTCCTAATGCTGACAGAGGATCGAAAAAGTGTGTGAACAATCACATTTACCACCCACAGTCGCTTCAAAGGAGGTATTGTACCATAAAAAGCTAAGCAGCGCGTTCTCGTCGGAAGTACTTTGACTGCGATTCACAAAGGTTCTTCTCTAAAATGGAACTGATGTTTATGCAAAAAGTTACCCCGTAGCAATTAAGTACCGCACATCCGACTTAAGCACTCCGCCCATCAAATGCAGCATTAAATCTACCCCAATTTCCAGCTGCAGAAGGGTGCATGCAAACTTTGACTATTTATCAAGCAAAGTTTCGTCCATCCGTCCGTCGGTCCGAGCGACCAAAGCGTCCGGATGCTGTGTGATGGTCCAGCTGATGCTCTGAAATGGTTCCGAAATAGTTTGCCGAGAGTCGGAAAGTTCACGACCATTGTCTGGAAGTTTGCAGCGAAAAACAGCAGCTGCTCTATGGCCTTCCAGCGACGACGACGACGACGATCCATGACTTGCGGTTGGTGCTTCCGGGTGCTTGGTTTGGTTTCGTTTTCCGAACTGAAGCACCCTCCCCGGCGATGGATGGTAAGTTTCCCGCGGTTTGCGCTCTTAATCAAATGAGATGCATGTGAATTTAGTGCTACATGTAATGCAAGGAGGGAAAACAACGGACATCTGTTGTGTGCACAAGTGGTTTGCGTTTTTGTGTTTCAGCGGCTTAGGTGAAAGCTGGATGGATTCGTATGGGGAACCTCATTTACGTTTGGCAATTATCGAACCGTGAAGCAAATGTAAATAGAGCAATCAAAACGTATCGTGACATGGTCGATCAAATGTACAATTACGGAATAGAGTACAAACAGGGTCCTCAATTTTCATGAACGACGATATTTCGTTTCAGAATGACTTGTTACTCCGTGTAGGGGTGGATTGGACGGGGTGGGGGGGTGAAATGGACAGATACTTTATTCGTCGGGATAACTTTCAATGTCACTATTTTTATCATACATCATTGTTTTTGAAAATTAGGGCAAAACTAATTTAATCGCTTCGCAATTGTGTAAATTTTCGACTTCAGCAATAACTTCAGCAATAACTAAAATAGAAAATCTACCGATTTCTTGTGGCAAAAATTTATGAGACAATCTTTTTAATTTCGATACTTTATTTCGCAGACTCTACCGATTCTTAGAATAACCTGATTTTCACAATGGACAACATAATTCTCTTAGTGTGCCCATTTTACCCTGACCGTCCCTAGTGTGTATGGAAATAAATAATTTTCCTACGAGTGAGAAGGCTTTCCCAATAATATAAAAGGTACCAACCCATCCCCCACTGTATTGGAAGGTATCATTTGTCATCATTAACATTCCAATTATGAGGCCTAACAAGGAAGGGATTTGGTTGGGGAACAATTTTATCAATACATTAAATTACCATTGTAGCAATTCCGTTCATTGGCTTATTTCTAACTGCAGAAACTCATTTAACGCCAAGTCAAGCGTGGTACCAAAGTAGGCTACGGCAGTCCGCATCGTGCTCTCTTGCCGTGCGGATCTATTTGCTTTTTGCTGAAGGAAGTGTTACTACTACCTAAAGCTACAACAAATTTAAACAGCACTTTTCAGTGCTCAACCTGTAAAAATTTTCTACCTTGTTCAACTCTTATTCCTCTTCGATCCTTGTTTGGACCCTACCCGAGGTAATCCTTCTTGGATATCGATTTGGAAAATTCCTCTTCGATCCTTCAGATTCTTATAGTAATCTGCTTGGAAGTCGATTTGGATAAAAATTTACTGCCGCCATGGCGCCTAAACGCAAAAGAAAGGGGCAAACTCTTGACCCCCCTTCTGATGAAATTAATTTGAGTAATCAATTTGATTTGCTCACGGATGATGAGAATGATCTATCATCCAAGAAAAATTCTAGTAAACTTTCCCGGCTTAATGCCAAGAAGGAAAAGATTCCCCCTATTGTGATAACCACTACCGATTTCCATGCTCTTCGCATGGAACTTTTGAATTTCGTGAAAGTTAAGTTTTCACTACAAATTGGACGTCGGGGTGAATGCCGTGTATTGGCTGAAACCTTGGACGGATTTAAATGTCTTCTCAAGTATCTTACTGAGAAGAAGCACAAATTTTTTACTTACGACACCAAAACTGAACGTGTGTTCAAGGTTGTCATGAAAGGACTGCCCAGTGGTGAATCCCTGGATCAGATCAAAGATGAACTGGCAAAATTACTTGGAGTTGTGCCACTCCAAGTAATCAAAATGAAAATGAAATCCCGTCCTGGCGATTCGCGCAACGGGATTTCTAATGATTTTTATTTAGTTCACTTCAAGTCTAATGAACTAAACAACCTTAAGGCCTTAGAAAAAGCTAGCCTTATGCTCCATGTCCGAGTGAAGTGGGAACACTTCAGGAAGACTGGAGGAAATTTCCAAAACCTCACCCAGTGCCGTAAGTGCCAGGGATGGGGTCACGGAACTAAAAATTGCTACATGCCAGCTAAATGCATGAATTGTGGTGATTCCTCTCACGCAAAGGACGACTGTCCTGTGAAGGAAGATCCTAAGAAATTTAAATGTTCAAATTGTGGTGAAAACCACAAATCCAATTTTTGGGAATGTAAGACTCGCAAAGCGATCCTACAATCTCGTTCTAACCGTCAGGTAGGAAACGCTCCACGTTTCCGACCAGGTACAAATTCCTCTGCTGTTAACAACGGTCAGCGAGGAACAAATTCTACATTCGTACCCGTAGGTACAAATATCTCCCCTGCTTCAAATGTTTCATCTGTACCTACTCCCCTCGCTGCTAACAATGTTCAGCGAGTTAATGGAGCTACCTATGCTGCTATTGCAGCGGGTAGAAATCAAAATACTAACCAACGTTCTAATGGAAATTTTGACAATTTTGACTTAGGAAGCATTACTGCCCCCAAAATGGAATTTTTACAGAATTCATTAATTGACATGATTTCTGATATGCTTAAATCTAACTCCATGTTTGATGCTATTCAAACTGGAGTAAAATTTGCAAATAATATTGTCATGACTTTAAAATTCAGTAATGGATTTTAAAGCATTAAATATTGTAAATTGGAATGCTCGATCTCTTAAAGATAATGAAGACGAGCTATTTAACTTTTTAAGAGTTCATAACGTGCATATTTCCGTTATAACTGAAACGTTCCTTAAACCTGACCATAAGGTTAAGAAGGACGCAAATTACTTGATTTATAGAAATGATCGTCTTGATGGACCCTGTGGTGGCGTTGCCATCATTATTCATAGACGAATCAAACATAAAATTCTTTCTTCATTTGAAACCAAAGTTTTTGAAACTTTGGGGGTTTCTGTTGAAACAAAATTTGGACAACTTACGTTTATAGCTGCCTATTTGCCATTCCAATGCGTAGGCCAGCAAAAGAATTTTCTCAAGGGTGACCTCCAGAAACTTACCCGTCATAGGTCTAAATTCTTCATTATTGGTGATTTTAATGCAAAACACCGCTCATGGAATAATGCTCAAAGCAATTCCAATGGTAATATTCTGTTTGATGATTGTTCTGCAGGTTATTACACTATTCAATATCCAAACAGCCCAACATGCTTTTCTTCTGCAAGAAATCCCTCCACTATTGATTTGGTCTTAACTGATTCATGTCAACTTTGTAGCCAATTGGTTACCCATGCTGACTTCGGTTCTGATCACCTTCCAGTAACTTTTGAAATATCCCAAGAAATAATTTGTAATCCCAACAGCTCTACTTTCAATTACCATAGAGCTGATTGGGAGCAGTATCGAACATTTATGGAATATAACTTCGATCCAAACATTCCTTTGCAAACCAAAGATGAAATTAATTATGCTCTTGAATCTCTGACTACTTCTATAGTTGAAGCAAGAGCTGCCTCAGTACCAAAATGCGAGGTTAAATTCGATTCAATTATAATAGACGATGATCTTCAGCTCTTGATCCGTCTTAAAAATGTCCGTAGGAGACAATATCAAAGAACACGCGATCCTGCCATGAAAGTTATCTGGCGGGATTTGTAAAAACAAATTAAAAAGCGATTCTCTGCCCTGAGGAACAAAACTTTTGAAAATAATATTTCTAATTTAGACCCGAGTTCCAAATCCTTTTGGAAACTCACAAAAATTTTGAAAAAACCTCAAAAGCCTATTCCAGCGCTTAAAGAAGGTGGTAAAATTTTGATCACAAATTTGGAAAAAGCTCAGAAACTTGCTAAGCAATTCGAGAGTTCCCATAATTTCAGTTTGGGTCTTACTAGTCCTATTGAGAATCAGGTTGTTCGGGATTTTCTGAATATTTTCTCTCGGGAAAATATTTTTGATGATTCCTGGGGGACTGATTTGGACGAAGTAAGGTCTATAACTAAAAAATTTCAAAATATGAAAGCTCCAGGTGATGATGGAATTTTCTATATCCTCATCAAAAAACTCCCAGAGAGTACCTTGTCTTTCTTGGTAAAATTATTTAACAGATGTTTCCATTTGGCATACTTTCCTGATAAATGGAAAAATGCAAAAGTTGTTCCAATTTTGAAGCCGGATAAAAATCCAGCTGAAGCTTCTAGCTACCGTCCAATAAGTTTGCTTTCTTCAATAAGTAAACTTTTTGAAAAGATAATTTTGAATGGAATGATGCTTCACATCAATACGAACTCAATTTTTGCAGATGAGCAGTTTGGATTTCGCCATGGGCATTCAACTACTCATCAACTCTTAAGAGTTAACAATTTAATTCGTTCAAACAAATCTGAAGGCCACTCAACTGGAGTTGCTCTTCTAGACATAGAAAAAGCATTCGACAGTGTTTGGCATGAAGGTTTGATTGCTAAATTGAAAAAGTTTAATTTTCCACTTTATATTATGAAATTAGTTCAAAATTATTTAACTGACAGAACTCTTCAAGTAAATTATCAAAATTCCAAATCTAATCGACTACCTGTTAGGGCAGGAGTTCCTCAGGGTAGCATTCTTGGGCCTATATTGTATAACATTTTCACTTCGGACCTCCCTGATTTGCCTCAGGGTTGCCACAAATCTTTGTTCGCTGATGACACAGGCATTTCCGCTAAAGGAAGAAGTCTTCGTGTTATTTGCAGCAGACTTCAGAAAAGTTTAGATATTTTCTCTTCTTATTTACAAAAATGGAAGATTTCTCCCAACGCTTCCAAAACTCAACTTATAATATTTCCACATAAGCCTAGAGCTTCGTTTTTGAAACCTAGTAGTAGTCACATAGTGACTATGAACGGAGTTCCAATTTCCTGGTCAAACCAAGTGAAATATCTTGGATTAATACTTGACCAAAAATTAACTTTTAAAGATCACATTGAGGGCATTCAA